AGGAGCAGCGGGATTATCCCGGGCGATTCAAAGTTGAATTCAGGATGTCAGTGGCTCAGTTTGATGCTTTGCTAGCGATACTAGAGCCACATATTAAAAAGAAGACCACCAATTTCTGTGAACTCAGTGTGCAAGGATCTTTACGGTGCTTTGTGCTGCGAGACGAAGTGGATGAACTTGACAATCGCCATTCTTTCTGGATTTTAGCGTTCGCTTGTACGGTGGCTCTGAACTGTCAAAACACTTCTCAAAATGCTTGCAACGGATGCAAAAAACAGAAAAAATCGAACCCGATCCGAATTTTTTTATGACGGACAAAAATTTCGGAGGCAGTGCGTAAACGTGATTGACATAATGTGAGGTCGTATTTATTTTTTAACGTGTGAAAATTTTGGATTAAATTTTGGGACTCAGTGTGCAATGACCTTTAGTCTTGAATATGTAACTCTTGTTTTGGATACACTCTTCCCGTAGCATCACGCTAAAAAACACGTGCAACTAAAGCACAAAGAATTCTGTTACAACAGTCTTCTCATTATAATGTTATCTTTATGACAGCTTGGCTGTTATACGGTAGGAGGCGCTATCACACATCTTCTGAAAGAGTATTAAACTTCTGGATCAAAACATGGTGAAGAAGAAGCAGAAATAAGCGGTCGCATATGTAAGCAGATGCATATGCAAAATAGCACGATCATCAAACATTTATCAGCACATAAATCAAAACTGCTTAATGTTACCAAATAAAATGTTGATCCAGGAAGTGGTTTAGGGCTGTGTAGGCTTTGGGAGTGTTTTTTAAAAAAAATTTTATGAAACTTACCCACCCACTCAAGTGTTGATTTTGTGAAAATGATCAAAAATGCTGGCGGTGGCTGGTAACTTTCAAAGACATCCCTATGCATTTCAGAAGCCATGAAGAGAAATTTTCATTAAAACATGCTTGTGAAGAAAAAAAAATATGAAGAAAAATGTAACGCAGCAAGTTTATTAATAATATTTTTTTTAAACAAACATTTAAAAGGAATGCAAGTGAATTCGACCTTGCTAGTCTGAATGTGTATCTCCTATCGTAAATGTGCTCTTCCCGTAACAACATGCTAAAACACGGGAAGCTAAAGCACAAATCATTTACGATAACACTTTACAATAAGCTCTGTTTGTTAACGTTAGTATGACAGCTTGGCTGTTATACGGTAGGAGGCGCTATCACACATCTTCTGAAAGAGTATTAAACTTCTGGATCAAAACATGGTGAAGAAGAAGCAGAAATAAGCGGTCGCATATGTAAGCAGATGCATATGCAAAATAGCACGATCATCAAACATTTATCAGCACATAAATCAAAACTGCTTAATGTTACCAAATAAAATGTTGATCCAGGAAGTGGTTTAGGGCTGTGTAGGCTTTGGGAGTGTTTTTTTTAAATTTTTTTAACTTACTTACCCACCCACTCAAGTGTTGATTTTGTGAAAATGATCAAAAATGCTGGCGGTGGCTGGTAACTTTCAAAGACATCCCTATGCATTTCAGAAGCCATGAAGAGAAATTTTCATTAAAACATGCTTGTGAAGAAAAAAAAAATATGAAGAAAAATGTAACACAGCAAGTTTATTAATACTATTTTTTTTAAACAAACATTTAAAAGGAATGCAAGTGAATTCGACCTTGCTAGTCTGAATGTGTATCTCCTATCGTAAATGTGCTCTTCCCGTAACAACATGCTAAAACACGGGAAGCTAAAGCACAAATCATTTACGATAACACTTTACAATAAGCTCTGTTTGTTAACGTTAGTTAATGTGTAAGCTAACATGAACTAACAATGATCAACAATGAGACTGTGGTGACTTCATGTATTCCAGACTTCAATGCACACTTTCAAAGCCATAGTTTCTCTTGAATTATCCAGCCTGTATGGCATGCCGTTCCAACGCTAAGCAGTCAGACCTCAAAGTCCTGCCCAAAATGATGCCTTAAAAAAAGATTATATACAGGGGTGCACATAAGTTTTTCAGCCTGGTTCTCATAAGAGAACCTGGAGATTTGGTTTGGTCCACACGCTGCACATAGTGTAACCCATTAAATACAACTGTAAAAAAAAAATAATAATCGTAGTGATAATATTGTTGCACTTTATTTATTTAGTTTTTTTTTTTATAACATAAACTAAATAATAAAGTGTGATAATACTATTATATTTTAAAACAAAAAGGGAGTATTAAATACAAATACAACTATTTTATAGTAAACTTAAAAATAACATGCTAATATTTACTTCTCTTTTAAAGATTAATTTTCATCATTTTCAAACGTAAAATCAGCAGGCTTTTATTTTGGCGAGTTGCCAGCAAGTAAGTATATGCGCTTCCGGGTTTAGCGTTGCCGACTGAAGCGCATCAGTGAATGAAATGTCACAGTTTTGCATTGTGCTTTGAAAACGGCAGCAGGTAGCCTAGATTTATTTATCTATTCAGTTTGAATAGAAATCGTATACATTCTTACAGTTTGTCTATCTAAAATTGTAATTGTGCAACAGCTGTCAACCATGTCGGTACGCAAATGCGCTTTCAGAACTTATTTACACTGCGCATTTTTTATTTTGGTCGCGCATGCGCACCTACGTACCACTTATGTGCACCCCTGATTATGTATACCGTTTGAAGTCACAGGATCGTCATTTTCATGATCGCTCATCACTGTCACTTTCGAGTATTCAAGTACTCATGCTCATCCCTGATTCATTGAAGATTATTAAATATTGACAACACATTCCAGCATTCTAGCAACATAGATAAAAAATTTACAGTTAATCACAGCAAAAGCACAAGCCTGAGTCAACAATAATAAAGGGTGAATGTAAAATGACACTAACTATTTCTATTGCTTTTTCTTCAGGGAACAAATCTCAACGGGAGGAGCTGGACTCCATTCTCTTTATTTTTGAAGTAAGTCTTTTCTACTTGTATTCATTAGTGTTTTGTGTTGTTTGTTGCTGTTGAGTTGTTAAACAGCTGAACTGTAGGTATCTGCGGATCGGGTTTTTCCACTCTCTCTCCTGCTTTTCCTGGAGGCGCCGTCCTCCCTTTGTCTTTTCCTGCCTGGCTGAAAAGTAGACTCTAGTTTGCAATACAAATAGGCAGGCAGGGCATTCTCTGGTTTCATTTGCTCAGGGTGGTGACAGTTTTTTTTTTCTTTTTTTAGGAAAAATGGTGTCTTGGTGTGAGAAGAGAGTTTGTGTTGCATAAACAGAAGTTGACTTGAAAGGTCACCCTGGGGAAATGGCTTTTATATGTTTAATCAGAATTCATTTGAGTTTATTAATTATATTACGAGTGGAAAAAACTGAAGCTACAACACATTAAATATGCCTAATTTTTAAGATATTAATGTTTGTTAGCATCTTTTGTTTTTAATATTGGCTGTTATACATGCATTAATATTGCCCAATTGATCAATAGGCTAGTAGGTCAAGAAATACTGTTGGATGATGCATTGTAGGGGTGTGCACAAACAGTCGAATATTCGAATATTCAATCTGTAATGATTATTTGAAAAATAAAAACACTATTCAAAATTTACTACGTGTTGCTTTGCTGGCCGCAAATGCAGGGAATCCATGATAAATCCTAATCACGCAAGCTAAAAGTCAGTTATAACTAAATGCACTGGGTGGCGCTGTGGAGCGTGTTAACAAGTTGATTGTAGCCTATTTGATCACAGAATGTTGTCGTCTGCCTCGCAAAGTTTGGAATTACTTCAATCAAAATGATCTTACTAAATGATCTTACAAAATTGAATATATCATGCAGCCTTGGAAAACAGACTAATAATGTGTTTTATGGATTCTCTTCTGTGAAATGCGCCACTTCCGGTATTTTGCCGGTTAGTCAACGCGAGCAAAATGAAGTCGAGGATTTTTAAAAATAAAATAAAATCGACGAATCGCGACAGCCCTAGTAATGACATTGGTTAAAAGGAATATTCAAATTCAAATATTCAGTTGAAAAATCAACTAGAAAGATTATATTGGCATTCGAATTCTAATCTCACATAGTATTTGGGATGGATAGTTAACTTAAACGCAGGCTGTCTATAGATGGTTTGATGGTGGAAAAAAAGGTCCAACTCCTTCAGAGTCTGAGAAAATTGTACATTTAACTCTTTCCTCCTACTTGAGGGTGTTTTTTTTAATACCAGTTGTACCAGTCATGCTGAGTTTAGATGGAAATGTTCTGATGATTCCTGAGCTCATGCTCATGCAACTGTAATTGCTCAATCTGAAACAAAAATATATAAACCTAACCTAAAAAATAAAATACAAACACACACACATATACAGTGGGTACGGAAAGTATTCAGACCCCCTTA